GTTACAACTCTATTTCTCTGGGTCTCTGCTCAATAAAACGTCCAGGAGAGTTGACTGAGTTCATTCTTTTCCTTCTTATAGTCTCCTTTTCCTTCATCCCCTCTCCGTGTTAGTGTCTTCTCTGGCACTCCACTGAAACTGCTCGTCAGACTCTTGGGAACTTCCAATCAATAGCCCCCCCCAGTTGGAGCAGGGCCTTTGTGTTACACCCCAGTATGTTCCAAATCCTCAGCGTTTACGATGGTATCTATCACAGAGTTGCTGCTCCATAGATGTTTGTCTAAAACGCATTCATGAACCAGTAATGTGAATGTTTAGTGAATTTATTTGACGTTCCATGGAATTGTTCAGAATTGAGGTTTGGTCTTTCATATAAGTAACACTCCCCACTCTTTTAATTGTGGAAGTACTTTTCCAAGACGTATCAAACATGATCTCTCACCTTCACTTTACAGCATTGTGACCCTTCACTTTACGGCGTTGACCCTTTCTCAAGACAACACTACTCTTCCCAGCCTTTACCCTTTTTGGGAAATGCCTGCTTTCCTGATTCTCATGCTCAAATGAAACACTTTCCAGTTCTGCCTTTTGAGAGGCCCTTCTCTGTCTCTCTACCCAGTTCACAAGCATTTCTTTCAAAATGTGCAATATAAATTGTGCATATAACCTGCTGAGGAGAAATCCATATATCTTTCACTAGGGCACTACATTTCTGCTTATAGAGTCTAAGCCTTAGTTGATCTTTTAAAAATCCCTAATATTCCTAATGATCTCCAACACGTCCATTAACAGCCTTTCTTATAAACTCTCATTAGACCATAACCCCTTTACCTGAAAGAGGGGTATTTGAACCTAGAAAAACTTTATAATTAATCAGAATAAAATTATCATCAAGGGGGGAGAAGAGAACAAGAATTCAACAAGAGGCAAGTCCTCTCTGTGAACCAGCACCATGAGCAGGCCACTGCCACCACTGGGGTCAGGGGACAGCCAGAACCCAGCCACTTCCAGTGCATGGGCTGGGAGACAAGAAGAGCCAACCCTCCAACCCCTGTCCCCACACTCTCTATGAGCAACCAGGTGATCCAGAGAAACACAGACTACAATGATAGCTCTTGAAGTGAAATGCAATTTGATGCTTGTGGTATTTGGGGTTTCACTGACTTTGCAGGTCTAGGGCTGGTGGTGTGATCATCTATTCAGAGGATCATAGTATCTAGTATGGCATCTATGGGAGATCTCTTTCTGAAGGTGGTAGCCATCGTTAATTCCCTATTATCTTGTTTTGAAGTTCTGTAGCATTTTCATTGTTCTGTTGGGTTGAGTTTTATTCTGTTTTGTCTTGTTTGATTTTGTTTTATCTGATGGCGTGGGCAGCTGTTTCAAAGATAGCAAGATATCTTATGGTAGTCATTTTGGATTTACTATTGTCTTGTTTTGAAGTCCTTTATTGCATTCATTATTTTGTTTTTATTGGTGCTATTCTGTTCTGTTTGATTCACTATGTCTGAAGTTATCTGCAGCTATTTTGAAGACAACAAGAGGCATTATGGTAACCATTATTGATTTTGTGTGGTTTTAAATTCCTGGTCACTTACATTGGTTTGTTTTGGTTGGCTTTATTCTGTTTTATTTTGCTTGGTTTTTTTCTCTCTTGAATAAAATTTTAAAAAATCATCATCAATTCTTTGACCATGTGGTTTAGCTTTTCAACTACCATAATATATCATTCTAAAACTCTGAGCCATGTAAAATTCACTAAGTAATTATGAATCCATTGATATGAAGAGCATACAAAGATTTACAACTTCTAAGGTCCAGGGGTCAGTGACCACCTAAGTGAAATCTTAATTATTCTAAAAGGGGGGTGATGCCTGGGGAACTTTGTCAGAGGCCAAAGACTACTTCCAGCCCTGAGAAATAACTGACATGCTACTCCTGGTTGGTCCTCCATCTGGGCAGTGGGTGAGGAGGAAGAGGGACCAGTCTGGGTAGGAAATGCATGCTGGAGAGCTGCTTGGCCAGCAAGGATGGCCTCACAGTTAAGGAAGACACACAGAGGCAGACATTTCTTATGAGGGTCCCTCCAAGGCAGTGTGTTTGCTGAAGTCTCAGCTTTGCCCTAATGCCAAAGGCTAGGAATTGAGCATCAGTCTCTGGATCTAGCCTGTCCCTAAGCTGTCTCTGCCCTGAGACGCCCTGTGTAACGTTGGCCAGTGCCCTCGTGGCATGTAGAATGGGGCACAAGGGCTGGGACTGTCACAGTACTGGTTTTGCTGTTGAGAGAGCAACATTGTCCTCCAGAAGTTCCTTCCCCAGGAAGCGCTCTTGTCCATTCTCTCCAGACCACAGCTTCACAAGTTCCAATCCCTCTGCCTCCCCAGCCCCTTGTTTGCCCTGGAAGCCACATCAATAACTTAATGTAAGATCAATTACCATGCAAGTCATCCTGATCAGTCCTACTCACAAAACAAGATTAAATTGGCTGATTTTTTAAAAAAAACTTTACTGGAATTTTGATACTCGTTATCTCTGGTGATAGAGTTACACTGGTTTTCATTTCCTTCATATCTGCCAATCTACATTTTGAATGGGAAAGGGAGAACAAACAAGGTGAATATTGATGAGCTAGTATATGATGGTATGATTTAAATTTTGTTGTGTCTTTTACACGCTTTAAACTGTCTTCTAATCTGTGAATCAGTCTTCCCAGGAACCCAGAAAGAACAATCCCTGAGCTCTAAACACACCTTGTGCATGGGGGGACTTCTTTTTCTCACTCAAAACTGGATCCAGACCTTGTCTGCTTGTTCGGATTCTGCAAGACAGCGTATCCCCAAGCTCTTCCAAAGCAGCTACAGTGCAAAACTCCTGCTGGAAACCAAGACTCACACTTATGTGCTGAACTACAGTAACCTCACTTCAATTTGTGAGCCCTCTTTGTTTTAACTTTTTTCAATAACATTTTCTTTAAAACTATCTTAAAGCTTTCCCACACCAAATGGAAGAAGTTACAAACCTAAGGCAAATTCCCACATCACAGAACCCAAATCCAAACACCAGCACGGATATGTGTTGTTAGGACACTGAAGGAGATGTTCACGACTCCGGCTTTCTACAGCAGTGCCACAGGGTAAGTTCTCTGGACAGGCTCAGGTTTTGCCCTTCTGTAATACTACACTTTGGCACCATTACACATAATAACTAATAGTTAACTACACAAACATGGTTTACTAGACACGGGACTGTAATTTCTCCAGGATTTAACACTAGAGATACCAAACACATACCACCACTCCTGCTTATTCCAGACTGGGCAGTGGGCTGGAGATCTGTGGAGGACGAACACTACTAAACAAACAAGGAACAGTCCAGCAATAAAGTTCCATTAATCATCTCAGTCGGCACCAAAAGACCTCTCCTTGTTTACCTTTCTTTATTTTTTCTTCTTGTTTATCTTTCTTGTTTTCTTTCTACCTTAAGCTGTAATTGGTAGGCAGAGAGAAGAAAGAGGGATATTTGTGGTTCAGATTTCTTCTGCTTTCAACTCAACATTTTAGGCCGGGCAAGGCCTGACCTTTCTGCTAAGCCTCACCTGCTTCTAGAGACTTCCTGTTCTCCTATTGTCTTGAACCTGCTCTTACGCAAAGCACATAAAAGCTCATAGGTAGTGAGCTGTATCAGTTCACACGGTGTTTTGCTATTCTGAATCTAAATCTATTTTAAAACATTATATATCTCTATATATATACACACACACACAAATATGTACATCTTTGTGCACGTGTGGTGCTGGGATGGAACCCAGAGCCCTGTGCATGCTACACAAGAGCTCTCCCACCAAGCAACACACATCTCCTGCCTAAGACAGACTGAAACTGTCATAGTGATTTCTCCAGCTAGGCCTAACATATTGGAATACATGATTATTGTATATGTACATATATTTTTAATTCCTTCATTTTTCTCTTGAAGATTTTTGATTTGGTCAAGTTTGCTTCCATTTTCATAATGTTCTATTCTTGTTCATTAGGGATTTTAAAAAACGCTTTTAAATATTTGAACTATTATTTTACATAGTCTGGTTTTCCCATTTTTAGTTTCAAATGATCCTTCTGGGTGACCCTTCTGAACTTTCTTTTCCCAACGCTGGGGCCTGAACCAGGGCCTCGCACACGCACAGTTCATGCTGTCCCGAGCTACACCTTTTTTCCAGACCAGGGATCCTTAACTGTGGCTCCATTGTCAGCAGGAGCTGTGGCCCCAGAAGAGCCGATCTGACGCTATGGAGACAGAATCAAACTACAGCAGACTCTGCAGGCTTAAACCTGTACCACATTAATTTCTTTTTTATATTTTAAGGAATTTAGATTTAGAGAAAATTTACAAAATGGTGCAGGTTTCTGTATACCATTGCCACAGTTTACCTGACTTGAAGGCTCAATAACCACAGTAAAATACACTTCTACAAGACCATTAAGTAGACTTTTTTGGCTCCCACTAGTCTCTTTCTGTTGTTGTTGTGCCTTGATTCCACATTTCATTTGCTTGTTGTGTCCCCTGCGATAGGAGCTCCTTGTCCTTTTCTAAAGTTGCCCAGGGCTTTGCTTGGGTTTCATAAACGGCTCCAGGTTTGGCCTATTACCTTTCAAGAATATATGGACTCTCATCCTCTCATTTGTCCCACTAAATTGTAGAGTCCTAATCTTTTAATTTCAAAATGAAATTGCTCTTAGTGTGTGCACTGGTTTGACTGGGGAATAGCAGTAAAGCAGAAGAGAGAGTAGAGGGTGGGGCAGCGGTAACATGAGTGAAAACATTTCTGCAAATCCCACGCTAAATGGGATACTTTCAATTTAATTCCTCAGCAAACAAAAGCACTAAGTGTTCTCTCCAGGGACACAGCATCAGAGAACCAAAAGAACACCTGATCCAACTCTTCAAGCTTTACAAATGAGGAAACTATCATGTTGCAAAGGAAATAAACAGAAACTATCACGTTGACACCATTTCATAGCATTTATTGACATTTCCATTTAAAATGCTAAGAAAGCTGTAAAAATTGTAAACATGGAAACCAAACACTTGCATAAATTATTTCCAAAACTCTACAGCTCATTAGAAAACAGTGCAGCTAACTGGAGGGTAGAAACATAACTGACAAAGAGAAGGGCGGCTTCGATCACTAAATCATATACCCATACTGAGATTTAAGTGCCCGTTTGAAACCAGCCAACTATGATTGTCAAGTTCAGGTTGCAGGATTGATGCCGCAGGCGGCTCCAATTTGCTCTGCACAGTTTCGTACATTAATCGTCATCATCTAGGAAGGAGGGTGCAGGAAGAATCAGAAAAACATGACCTTGAATTGAAAAGGTAGGGGGATGAGTCAGCACCCCAGCCTGAGCAGCTCTGTGGAGCAACCTCTCCTGTTAATGCTCCCCGAGGGGCTTTGGGAGACGGCAAAGTCACAGTGCTTTCACTCCGCCTTGAAATGAGTCCCGGTGCTTAAAGCCACTGAGTTACTGACCACATCTCAGTTCTTCCAGCACCTCCTCTTCTCTCCCTACACTGTAGGAGGAACAGAACAGGATGTCTGGCTTGAACTTGGCCCTGGGAAGACAACTTAGGAATACTTGAAATCTAGTGGGCACGAGAAAAGTCCATGCCAGGTAGTCTGGGAAGAAGGGTCTACATCATCAGGGACAGTAGATTCAAGTTTTTCCGATTTTCAGCTCAGTCCTTTTGACCTACTTGCTCTTCCTTTAAATGCAAAGTACTCCCAAAGCACAAAAACCCTGGGGAAAGAAGGCAAAGCAAGGAACCTGGATCATTATCTACCCTGTGGGACACTGGTTTGGACTGGAGTTTATCAGACCAGGATATTCATTGCTCTCTTGCTTTGCCCACTGGTCCCTAACCACTTCATGCTCCCAAAGGCAATTAATATTCCTTCTAACTTCAACACTGCTGTGTGTTTGTAGCATAAATTGTTAAGTGTACCGTTACACACAGAAGCATGGGATTTGCACTGTACCATGATGGTTCAGCTTTCAAGTCTTTTTAATAGCAGACAAAGGTGTCCTAGTTTAAATAGCAACAATCACCTCCCAAAGTGTAAAAGAAATCAGAAATGGGCATACTCCTTGTTCATCAGGTGACAAGGGTAAGCCTGAACATTTCATAAATGTGGCAGCAGTGGCCCACAGAAACCCTTCTACTGTTACAAGAAGACTGTAGCGTGTTGGATTCAATGTAAAAACAAAGTTCCATGGATTGTGCCCAAGAAATGTATTTGTGCTCAGGTGGCCCATGTGCTGGTTCAGAGATGGCTTTTCCTTGTGCTTCTGCCTGGGCCAAATGCGGATGAGCAGACTCTGCTGATGAAGTTTAAAGATTTGCTCTGGAGGTAGAAATGTCCTGCTGAAAACTTCACTAGAGCCAAAGTTAATGGGAGACTTCAGACTGGGAGAGCCCCTGGCCCTGAGCCCAGAATCTCAACCAGCCTTCCTTCTCCACCGCAAGTACATTCCCATCTAAGATCCCAGGAGAAAAGGCTCCCTTAATGATTAACTTGGGAAGCCCAACCAAGCAGATCTGCACCAGGGACAGCTTGCTTAATGGAGCAGAGGGGAAGGCATCACACAAGTACGGTAAACACTGGCCTTGCTTATGGGAAACGAGACTCAAGACAGGAGAATCATTTAACCCAAAGCCTTCCAAGCACACTTTCACCCTCTGGTTTGTGTCACACCCTCATACCCTGAAAAATCCGACTGTCAAAAACACACAGCTTAAAAGTCACATGCCACCAAGATCAACACGTATTTTGAAATTAAATAAAGTTAGGAAGAAAATCTGTAGGTATCTGTGAAGAAGCCAAACGTATTTATTTATAGCCTACTATGCTCCACACTTGCAGCAATTCTCAGTACACTCCTTTTTCTCCCCACGGTGGAGTCCTTCCGTGCAGACCCTTACCAGCCTGGTCACTCACGTGCTGCATCACTGCAGATGCTCCTTTCCACGCTCCTCCCTCCTCTGAAGCTCCCCGTGCTGCCCCCACACCACAGCAGATCTGAATCAAATTCATTTTTCAGTGACAGCATATTCCAATCTCCACACCCTCCCCCAAGCCCACTCTGGGCCCGTCCCAGGCCATGTCACCACAGCCCTGGGCAACTTCCTTTTCTTCATCCAGGTGACTTCTGCAGTTCATGTCTCCACAGAACCCAGCACTTTCAGATATGCAACTGCCATAACTTCTTCTGAGTGCCCAAGATAGGTGTGTGCTTCAAATGAATGTTACAGATGTTTAAACTGTTTTAAAATCAGTATCCTCAATCTTTTATACCCATCTGTGATATCTAGTTGGAGTCTAAGATTTCAGAAGACAGGGCTCATATTTGTTAACCTGTTTGGAGCCTGACATAACAGCAAATCAAGAGCAGAAAGATGCTTGAGATGCTTTTTGAAAGTCACGGAAGGAAAGAGAAAAGCTTTAAACAAAACAGGAATGAGGAAGATGAGACACTGGACTTTCTGTTTCACTCAGGTTGCCTGTGTAGCAACCCGCTCATTGGTAGGTCACAGCATGTTACACAGGTCATCCCAGGGCACTCACACAGAAAGCATGTTACATTTTCACAGTGCTTTAAGCTCCCTCCTCCAGGGATGTGCGCACACAGGATCACACCTGGTTCTCACAACCAACACTTCTGGGAGGCGTGCAGGGAAAGTCTACTTGAGGAAGAATGAGGTTCAGAGAAGGAACTCGGCACAGTGGATTAGTGACAAAGTAGACTGCGAGGTATGAGTCCTCCAAAAAATCTTCTGCAAAATGCCAACTCAAATTTATAGTTTGTTTTACCATTATCATTTCTAAAACAGGAAAAAAGAACAGACCTAAAATTTAACATTTTTAGAGTGCTCCAATCAGTGGAAGTCCAAAGCTACACAGGACTGACAGGAGGACCTTTCTTTTAAGCCAAGCACACTAAGTGTCTGGAGACCCACTGAACATGGTGTGCCCCCATACCCAGCTCATTCTGAGTCTGGCGACTGGTCAACCTGCTTTGGGGGATGTCCAGAGGAAACAAGTGCAAATCAAGTGTGCTTTTTCTTTCTTTTTTTTTTCAACCAACAGAGCACTGGTGATCCCACGGGGGCCTGCTCATGCTGCTCCATTCACCAGCAGCAGTTTATTATGTCATCTTTGGTCTTGACATTGGTTTAAAGGTGTGCTGGTTCTAAGAAAAAAAAACACATGTAGAGTCCTTTATGGTAGTTGGAAGGGCATCAAAACTGCAGTCAGTTATATCCTTTGCAGCAGAGACCCATTTCTGCAACACACAAAGGAGGTAACCACTTCTAGGACGCTCTGCGTGCAAAACACTTATGACAAGGAGCAGAACCAGGAGAGAAAGGGCCATTTATTCCATCTGGTGTCACAGGAACTGAATTCATTGTAAGTGATCCATCATAAAACTCTGTTTGGATATGTGAAAGTCTTAATACCAATTCAGGAAACCTGATCTTTCTAAGTGACATAGAGAGGATCCTCCACTTTGGGAACAGTAAAGTATTAAACCAAGAACAAGAGGTAAAAAATCAAGCCTTAAAGAGGTTCTTTTCTCCCATGCACTTTGGCACCTCTGGATACAGCCTGATGGGAGCTTCTGGCTACTCTTCAACTTCTCAGAATGGACTTTGCCTGGTCCTGCGATTCTATGTCTGTATCACAGGACTGACCAGCATGACCCTGGAACCAATGACTACATTCTGGAAACCTGTTCAAGCCGCCTCCAGCTTCCTAAAATTTATTGCAGAAACACAGAGTTTGGTTAGGCAGAATCCCAAATTTACCTCATTACCTGTTGTTTAACCAAAAGTATTAGTTCATCTGCTAAAGAGAGGCCCCTAGCAGGAATCTCTTCTGCACGCACAAACATTCTTTGAGCTTCACTCAGGTACTGGAACACACAACACTGCTGTCTTTCTAATTATAATGTGGGAAGAAGGGAAATGATGAGTCCAGGGGTACATTTTTGGTGAGGCAACCCACCTCTCCCTGGCCCAAAGTGCACAGCACAGTTTTAATGTCACTCAACAAAGTAATAACACAATAAAATCAGCATAAGGGGCAACTTTCCTTTCTCTTGTGGTCTCAAAACTCTTCTTTACACTTCTTGATCTGTGACAGAGGCTGAACTGGACTCAGTTCCAATCCCAGGTCTTGCACACAGGGAATGTGACCACTAAGATGGATCCATAACAAATGGCTGGTCCTAGAATTTGTCAGAAACAATGTCTCCTTACCTAAGATTTCTCGTTCGACACGATGTGTGAGCCACTCATCAGCAAAGTGCAAGGATCTAAGAGGGAGAACTCCTGAAAGCCTCATTCTGTGGGACCAACCTTAATCACTTGTGCAGAAGTGGGATCCACTTAGAACTGGACATGCCCGATTAATAAACAGCAAATACAATTAACAATGCAAATCTAAACATTGATATGTATTTTGATTAACCAAATAAATAGCTCCCCCACCTCCCCCCAATTTGGAAGTTGTTTTTCTTTTCTCCTAGAACAAAGTGAAACCTCCAACATATTCTTCCATTGTAAAAGCCAAAGGTGCATCTTGCAGACAGAAAGGTGAGGGGTTCTGGGAGCTTTAGCACCAGAAAAAGAGGAGGAAGAATGTGGTGATGGCTTTGTCTGGAGTCATCAGGCTCTACAATCTACCATTTGGTTTTTCTCTAGTAGCCTTCTTTAAAATTCCCCAACAGTCTTAGTGTTCTTGTTGTTAATATTACTATTAAAATAAGTTCCTAGGGAGGAAAACAGGGAAATCAATCTGTTAATGAATCGTCTTCAATTCTCTCTTCTCAAAGAACAAAGCAGCAGGTGTACCGTACACGTCAGTCTGAATCCCACAGAGAAGCTTGGTTCCCTTCTGCCCGTATCATCTACCCATTTCAATCTTTTGCCTTTTGAAAGGAGACTAACTTAGTAATTTTTGTTAGCTTAGGTTTGTGTTTCTTTTTTGTGAAGTGCTGCTGGCTTTTGGCCAAAAATACATATATTTCCATTGAACCCGCGTGGTCACCAAATAGCCAATCTAGAAAACTATCTTGTGAGTTATGGCAATATCTAAAATTGCAGCTTGTTCCCTCTTAGCGGGCAGTGTGCCCGGGAGATGCGGTTCCTCTTACAAACATCCGCTCGGTCGATTCCTCTTGGTCTTGCTTCCACGGGAAGCGGATACCGGCAAACCTGCGTGGCGGGGTCAATCAGCTGTGGAAATTCTGCACGGCACTCTGTTTCTGGGAGAGCCGCAGCAGCTCCTCTCGGATCGCTTTGATGAGGGAAGCTGAGGAATGTCCCGGCTGGAGGTCTTCTGTGGAGCTGGTGGGGTAGCTCAACCCAGGGCCCTGCAGCCCTCTGTGGGTTACGTTCCCAGGAGGAGCCGAGGGCTCCCTCCCCGAAGTCCTTGGCACCTGAAACAGCGGTGAAGAAGAATATTCTTGATGTCCAAGCATGTGGGGCTGAAAAACACGGCAAACGTTACTGCACTTCCTGTGTGAGGACCAGGGGAAAGATCAAGTTCAACCAGCACCTGGGCTTTCTCCTCCCACCCCCACGCCACCCCTGCCCACCCACTACCTCAGCCCCACCAGGACCCTGCTGCTGGGCTGCTGGGCTGCTGGGTGGAGAGTGAGTGCAGCCAGGAGCTAACCTGGGGCTTCGAGCCCATGGGCAGAACAGGTCATGCCTGCAAAGCCTGAGAGGAAAGGAGCAGAGTCAGAGGTCAGGCAGGCCCCCAGATGTCAGCAGAGGGGCCATTCAGAGCTCCTCCCTCTGCCCTGGGACACAGAATGTGTGTGTGTGAATCGCTGGGACTGCAGAATGACCTTGCATCTCAACAATCTATTGTAATCTTTGTGTGTGTGTCCATCTCACTGTTTACCGTGGTCTAAAGCCCTCTCTCTCTCTCTCTCTCTCTCTCTCTCTCTCTCTCTCTCTCATACCAGGAATCAAACCCATGACCTGGAACTTGCCAGGCAGGTGCTGTGCCACTGAGCTATATCCCCGGCCCTCTAGAGCCTTCTCTTTAACAAGTCATCTGCACTATAGTAGACAACGGTTCTGATACTGGTAAGATAAGATCTGCTCTAAGTTTGATACAAATGTGACACTTTTCAGTGATTTGTTTTCCATATTTTTTCAATGAGGAAAAAAATATTGGGTCAATGTACTCCATCCGTATGTGATTGGTAAACTAAACCTGTGTACTAAAAGAATAACACTAACAGTCAGTTATCAGTGAAGAAAAGATGGTTTCCAAAGCCCTGGGTTATTTATTTCTATATTTCACTTCCTCAAATTCTAGTAAAGAAACACTTCGAAGTAAACATTTTTGGATTTGATGGGAAACCCTAAAATACTTCATAAAACTAAACTGGGTACAATAAAGGCAGGAAAAAAAAAGTGTCAACAAACTTTTAGCAAATATTTAGATAGTAAGTCTAACAATGTCTTTCCAGGAGAAAATTGCGTCTACAGTTAACTCAGTGAAAGCATTTGGTCATGAGAGGATTTCAGCCTTGTGGCTGAGAAGGCACAGAAGTACAAAGAAAACAGGCTACAATGATAATAATAAAGATAAAACTAAATGCAATACTTTAGCTTGCATTTTGCTTTTCACAGTATCCTCTAACAGTATAAAATTCTCAAGAAAAACAGATGAGAACACTTGTAGAAATTCTATATCCATACCAAGTAACTAGAGGCCTCAAAAGGAGGACTTGTGTCTTCCAAGGCCCCACATCAAGTGCATGGTGCAAAACCATCCATGGACAGTGGTCACAGTGGAATACAATCAAAATGTTCATACGAAGCAAAAAAGTACGAGCATGAATATTTACAAAGCAATCACACCAACGATAAAGTCCAGATGTGATTCACCTTCAGGTTCAAATTCACTACTTAAAGGCCTGAGATTGGCTTCATGAAAAATCATTTCTTTTCCCAAAGGGGAAAGAAATTTATCACCTAAAACCTGCAAGCAAAAACACAGGTAAGGCAGTAAGCTGTAGCTGTTTTGTAAGCTGTTTTGAAACAGGTTTTAAGCACAGACTGTCAAAGCAAGGAAATGCTCAGGGGTAAATCTCAGGGCCAAGCCCAGGTACTTACAGCCTCTCTCCGCCCTGCTTCATCCTCCCCGTAAGCAGCCCAGCCTGGGCCCCCGAACTGGCCTCCTCTCACAGCTGGGATTTCCACTGGCTGCGCCCCAATTCTGCTAGCGATTCCCACCTGTGTCAGGTGCTGGATCTGGGAGCCTGGAAGGAACACAGGGCAGTGGGCTGGTCAGTGTCTGGTGGCAAGGGAAGCTGCTGGGAAGGACCCTGTCAGCTCTGACCACAGCTCCTTCCAGCACAAGGGTAACAAGTACCGTTCAAACAGCACCAAGGCTGCTCCAGACACGGCTTTTACTTACCTATTTTATTTATTTGTAGTACTGGGGATAGAACCCAGGGCTTTGAACATGCCCAGCAAGCACATTAGTCTGAGCTCCACCCTCAAAAATGATCTTGAAGTATCTGTGACTAACACACTAATTTCCAAATGCTCCAAGAATCCTCAGATGCATCAATGATGTTCAGATCCCACGAGTTCTCCATCTCCCACTCCCACTGTTGACCTCAACTACCTACTACAATTTTAAAGCATGAGCCTCTCCGTGGTTTTATTTGGCTACACATGATATTTAAGGTCACAGAACATATCTAGGCCACTGTCCCAGCAATGGACTCTGTGTGAGCACTTCCATTACTGAAAAGTCAACGCAGTCCTCATGCTGTTTGGCACCGTCTACTCATCTTCCAAGGGGCTGTAACACATCCCCAGTGTGCTCGCCAGTGTTTCAGCAGGATATCAACCTCGAGGGGAGAAAATTAAGCCATATAGTGGTTGAAATCATAATCCAGTCATGACTTTGTATCTTGCTTTGGTCACTTTCTCAGTATAACAGAATTCCCCCAACTGGACGTGGAGCCCCGCAAACCTGGAGCCAACCCCAGCCCCACCTGGGCCAAGCCACACCATGCTCCCCACTTCAGGAGCAGAAAGTCATTTCAAAGATCAGACAATATGAAAGAGACCAAGTACCAACCACACAGCATCTGGTGAGTCTCAAATTCCTCTTTTCTGGCTTTCTTCATTTTAAAAAGCTGTGCTTACACTTCGTGTCCAGAGAGCTTTCTGAACAATTCTGGGATAAACATCTTGGCTCACATAGTTTCCCCCAATATTTTGGTTTTGGAGGTTACAGGGCCCTGTTGTTTCAGAAGTAAAATTACTAGATAAATGTTCCTGAGTCCTATGACCAAATTATTTTCCAATATTTAATGATTTAGACCACTGCTGAAAATAATGCAATAGTAATCACAATAATGGGATTACTCAAAGTGTATGATGTGCCAGGAAGTATTCTGAGTACTTTATATCTGCTATTTTATTAAACCAGCAAAACAGCTGTAAGCATTAAGTACTAATAACCCCCATCGGATAGATGAGGAAACTACACAAGTTTTGCCACACCACATCCTTATGAAAATAATCTCATAATCATAATTGTGCCCCTGAGTTTTAATGTATCCTTCTTTAATTATTCTCAAGACTGGGCCTTTTTCCTAGCTTGCTTTTTAATAGGGCACATGTGCACACACATGCATGCCTATGTTACTTTTGTGAATTCTTTCTTACCATCGTTTGCTCTTTTGACTTTTGAGGATTGCCCACTTGGTGATTTATATGTACCGTCCTCTATCAGAAAAATACCTCCAGGTCAGTGGTGTGTGGTGATGCATGCCTGGAATCCCAGCAACCTGGGAGGCTGAGAAAGGAGGGTAGGCTGGGCAATTTAGCAATTCAGTGAGACCCAATCTCAAACACAGAGGTCATGGGTTCAATCCCCAGGACTGGGAAAAAAAAAAAAAAAAAAAAAGAGTTCTTGGCCAACCTATGCTGTAAATTTCCCCTAGGTGCTATTTGTTTCAAATCTACACATATCTGATAATTTTCTATAGTCAAAAATGTAATTGTACTAAAGCTGAACACTTTACAATTCCACTTTGGATTAGAAAATATTAGACATGGTAATTTTCTTTTCAAATGCTCCACACATGTAATTTCTACGTTCATCTCTATAGTTTAATTAAAAATTAATACATCTGATTTTTGTTTAGTGTTTATGCTGCAACGAAGTCTCAACATGCAGCAGCTAACAGGAGAAATGAGACTCCATGCAAAGCACAGCATCTGGAAATTTGAAAAAGTTGGAAGCTATCAGGACATAGGATGTGCTCTGTGAACTACCAGACATATAAAACACACAAGTTTCCTAGAAGACCATAATGAAAAATAGCACCCATTACCGCAAATCTGGAATTGGCCTAAAGTAACTTCTTGATGACATTATATATTTGCCAGAAAGTTAGACAAAATAAATCAATTAACATGAATGGCTTCTCTCAATAACACTTCAGTCATAATTCATAACAGCTAAATCTTGGAAGCACACTATACGTCCATCAACAGATCAATGGATAAAGAAAATGTGGCATTTAAACACCACGGAGTACTGCTTTTCCACAAAGAAGGATAAATGAGGCATCTATAGGAAAATGGAGACGGGAATGTTAAGTGAAATCAATCAGACGTTTCTCATATGAGACAAACCACGTGATAAGTGTCACGTGGTTTGTCTCATATGAGAAACGTCAAATATAAAGAGCAAAATAAAAGACAGATCATAGGAAGTAGGGAGATAGATGTTTCTTAAATGGGAAGGAGATGAGTTGGAGGGGAGGGGATGAAAAAAGAATTAAGATGTGTCATGCACATGTACCAACTCCCCGTGAGGAAAGTGATCATGTACTGCAAGCATGTACCAATAAAAAATAAAAAGGAAATGAATGACGAAAACAGAAGAGCAACTTTGAGCTTTTGTAATAAATCATAGAATGATATTGAACTTTAAGAATCGTTCAAAGTGTGCAGAACTGTACAAGAAACAGGAAGAATTTAGGATCTTAAACTACACAGATTTTTGTCTTTTCTGGTGATAGGATCAAACCCCAGAGCTAATGCATGCTAGGCAAGCACTCCACCCCAAGCTACACCTGCACCCTGTGCAGAGATTTCAGGAACACAGAATAGCATTTACAAATAGAGTTTTCACAGTATCAGCTAGCATGAGTTGAAGATTTATGAAATGAAGCAGGAATTTGGTATTTGGGGTACAAGTCTGAACATCAGGTGAATTGATGGTGTGATCCAGCCATCTGCTATCAAGGATCTCAAGGCTGGGTGTGGTGGTGCACACCTGTAATCCCAGCACTTTGGAAGCTGAGGCAGGAATATCACAAGTTTGAGCTCAGCCTGGACAACTTAACAAAACTTTGTCTCAAAATAAAAAATAGTAAACATGCTGGAGATGTACTTCTGTGCAAAGGCTCTGGGTTCCATTCCTAGTACCAAAAAGAAAAAGAGAGAGAGAGAGACAGAGAGAGACAGAGAGACAGAGACAGAGAGTCAGAGACAGAGAGACAGAGAAAGATAGACAGACAGATTCAACAATTAGCCTAAAACTCTCAAGAAACTTGCAGATAAACTTTTTTCTTCTCTTTTCTTTTGCTCATTTTCTGAAAAACACATTAATTTCTAACCTGTCATTATGGAGGACACTGAACTGAGAAAACGCTCTTCATATTTTTTTTTCGTTCCCTAAAATTTAGAAAGCTCTTCCTTTTCAGACATTCAAATGTCTCAAAAGCAAGAGCGGTTAAATTACTGAAATGCAAACACACTTAGCACTATTTATAAAACTTGAAAACTGAAAAGAAATGCAGTCACTACATTTAATAGAGGTCTTTAAAAACCTGGATCTTTATATTGAAATATACCAAGTACTAGACTTTTGTAAGTAATCCAAACTACACATATTTCTCAGATCAACCAGATAAATACATTCTAGAATTTTTTAAAAAACAAAATGCATTAACTGTCTGACTTTATAATTTCCATCCCAGGAGCACCCCAAAGAGCTCTGAAAGCACCCCCTCTGTTTGCTGGAGGCATGTTGAGAGGCGCCCCCGCAAGTGGCCACACTCCCCAGCAAGGGGTCAACAACGTGGTGGCCCCCAGTCTCGGCCGGGTCACTTCTCGGGTCCTCCTCCCAAGAACCGAGCACAGCAGCTCGGGCCGGAAGCAGCCCGTCCACTCCGCGGGTGGACAGCCCAGCGCATACCTGCGGTGCCCCCGACGGGCCGAGGCCGGGCCACCGACGGCCTCTCCTCTGCGTAGACCCCACGGGCAGCCAGCGGGGCTTCTGCAGCTGCTTGTGGCTGTGCAGCATCAGGGGGCCCCAGCTCGGAGGACGGCAGCAAACCGGGGCCGAAGCCTGGCCTGAAGGCAAAGCACACGGACATCAGGGATCTGGGGTCTGAGTCCTTCACCCTCAACCTGACCCTCAGCAAGCAAAAACAGCTCTGCTTGGACTCTCCCTACCCTCCTATCTCAGCACGAAGCCTGGGACTCTAGCACCAGGGCCGAGGACTGCACCTACTTCTTCCACTAGAAACAAATGAGAAGGCACATACTCCCATCCAGACCAGAGGAAGACGCAGGGAGTGCAGGTGTCTGCCAATCGCCCTGAGCTCCTCGGCCTGGCTGCACACTGACATCACCTGGGGAGATTTTAATTCCTACGCCCACGCTGTACCCCAAAGCCAAATAGAACCCTCAGGGCAACCCAGACTATTTTGAACCTCTGCGGTGGTTTAACTGCCCTACAAAGCTGAAAATCAGTGTTCTAAAGCAGTGTTCGCAAACTTTTTGATCTATGAACCCTTTAAAATTCATAAAAATGTCTGAGCAGCTGAGCACGGTGCACACACCTGCAATCCCAGCTCCTAGGGAGGCTGAGGCAGGAGGACTGCAAATTCCAGCAAAGCTTGGACAACTTAAGTAGGCCTCTCTCTGTCTTAAAATATAAGGGACTGGCTTGGGATGTAGCTGAGGGGTACAGGCCCTGGTTTCAATGTCTAGTACAAAAAAAAAAAAAAGTGAAGACTCCCAAGACCACTTGTTAATTTGGATAAGATCTATCAATATTTATTGTATTAGGCTGAGTATGGTGGTACATGCTTGTAATCCCAGCACTTAGGAGGCTAAGGCAGGAGGATTGCTGCAAGCTTAAGGCCAGCCTAGACCACATAGTGAGTTTAAGGCCACTCTCACTTTGAGAGTGCATCTCACTAAAAAGAAAAACAAAAAAATCAAAACTGTGGTTAAAAAAAAATTAACAAAATTTTGGACATTTGTTTTAAAAATTCATCTAAAAGTAATACAGCCTTGAGTTATTTTGTTTTTTGTTGGTACCAGGGGTCTAACATATCCTCACACTTGCCAGGAAGGTACTTGCGCCACTGAGCTAAATCCCCAGCCTTAAAAATAATACAAACCTGCTGAGAGTTTGGCTCAGCGACATTAGCGCCTGCCTGGCAAACACAAGGTTGTGGGTTCGATCCCCAGTACCAAAAAAATACAAACCTGTATGAACAACAACAATTTTCATGAAACTAACTATATTCTTCAACCCTGTACCCCCAAAATTAGTGAAAAAATGATCCTCTTATATTGTACTATCAATAGGCATTTGTTATTTTAGGAAGATATGCTCTCACAAAATACATTCTCAGAAAAAGAAAGGATATATTAATAGCCTTTTAAGATAATATTCAAAAATACTCATTTAATACCACACCAAAACTCAGTGTTGAATTTGAAACAATATCAAGAAAGTTTCATTCTGTGTTCCATTAAACCCACGCCTTTGTCTTGCTTTTTGAATGATCATTAACCCATGCATGATTTTATGACATTTTGTCATTTAGAAAATACCAGTTCACTATTGATACGTTCCATTTCACAGTATGGAGAAATCCCATTCATTCTTGTCCCCACCTGTATCACCTCCTACGCACCCAGTAAAGTCTTTTAAGTACGGTCGAGCTCATGGGGCAGACAAAAGTTCCCTAAATTGATTTTTCTCTTGAAAGCTCAATATTACCATTGGCACAAACAACGACTGCTGTTTTCCTTGAAGTGACAGGCTCACTTGGCTCATTTTCAAGACAGCGTCTGCCAAACTCTCTTAAGTCTACACAGCAATTTTGCAAGGTATTAGTTCAAGTAAAGAGCAATGAAGTGATTGGTTTGGTTCTCAACTCAAGCAAGCAAGTGCTTTCCTCCAAGAATCCATACTCAGCAGAAGTGCCTTATTCTCAGGGTGCTTTCTCTTTGATAACAGACTCAAAAAATAACCTTCCTTCCTTCCTCCCTTCCTTGCAATACTGGGGAAGCAAGCCCAGGGCCTTCACGCTGTTATGTCCCCCGCCCCTTTTCCTTTATTTTGAGACAGTGTCTTACTAAATCACTAAAGTGCCTGGAATGGATTCAATTTACAATCCTCTTGCCTCAGCCTCCCAGAGTGCTGGAATTATAGACATGCATCACTATGCCCAGCCAAGTTTAATAATTTCTAAGGAGCTCATCAAGGACAACATATTAACCTAACTCTGGCTATTGTTTTTACTGCATTTGCACAGTGGTGAAGTATCACACCACTGCTCATAGACTGTAGCAGCTCTGTCTGCACTCCTGCAGATGCAACAGCGTTTGACCCACCTTAGTCCAAACATCTACCCTGATGAAAAAGGCAAATAAAGTATTAATATATGGAAATAGTTTTGACTTCACAGATGCCCTGATAGGATCTCATGGACCCTCTAAGGGTCTGAGAACCCCACCTTCAGAATCACGCTTAAGAAGAAACTCCAGAATAAAAGATTATAATCTATTACAGTTCTTTGTAATTAACAGAGCCAACCAGTTGAATAGGGTGTAGATGGATGAGCCTTTATCCTATACTGGAGCAGTTCTCATAAGTCAAAACCCAGATGATTTGCATGACTCGCTTTAAGTAAGTGCCACTGATTTGGACAGACCCTAGACAGAGCTTTACCATCCCCACTGCAGATCTTCTTCAACCCAACCACAACTCCTAACCCATCCACTCACAAACTCACTATGTTGTGCTGGCCAGTTTGAACTCCTGGGTTCAAGAGATCCTCCTGCCTCACTTTCCTGAGTTGCTAGGAGTACAAGTGTGTGTCTCTAGACTCTATCCTTATCTGTAACTTCTGCCCTGGTCATCTCAGCTCATCTGGACACTTTTGCCTTTGTTGCTTTTGGGCAAAAACTTATGCCTGAGTAGGAGAGAAAGCAAACCCTTTTGATATTGAGGGAAAATAAAGAAAAATAACAGAAAAGGAAAAGAGAAAGTAGGTACCAATCTTACTTCTAAGTGATTTCTGGTCATTGAAGAGCTAATTAGTTTGATTTCTGAGATTCGCTCTTTCCCCGAATCCATCTCTGCAATGAATCAATTACCCCCTAAGTGGGTCTATCTAGAGTCTCTATTCTGTTCCAGTGGTCTGTTGTTTCCACACGGTCTTAACATTTGACGGTGACTTGTAACTCTGAGAATAGTCCAATACCGTATTCTTCTTACTCAAAGTCTTTCTTTTGGCTCTTGTTGGTCCATTACATTTCCATACACATTTTAGAATCAAATCATCAACTTCCTTGAACTAAGAGAATTCTGAGGCAGAAGGATCACCTCAAGTTTGAGGTCAGCCTGGGCTACACAGTAAGTTCAAGGCCAATTCAACTACACAGTGAAACCTTGTCTCAATAAAACAAACAAACAAGAAAAGATCACTTGAGGAAACTGACATTATAAAAATAATGAGCTCCCTGTCTTTCTTTAAAGGGCTTAAATACCTTTGGTTGGATTTATTCTGAGATATTTTATATTTCTGAATCCTACTTTAAATTGCGTTCTTGACTTTTTAAAATTTTTTGTTACTTATATGCAAAAACAAAACAGTTTTGTACTCTGATCTTGTTTCTTCTATCTACCTTGATATTTTGTCTGGCTAGTTAGCCATCTTACTAAATTCCCTCAATTCTAACAACTTTCATGTTAACATTTTGGGATTTGAAAATCCTATGAGCTATAAATAACCATTATTTTTTTTTGAATGCTACGTAATCAATTTCTTTGAATAATACAATTTCTTTGAAAAATATAGTCATATTTTTTTCTTTCTGAACTCTTTTTTTTCTCCATCTGGCTAGGAGTCCTAGCACCATGCTGAACAGAAATACAGACTCCTGCCTCTTCCCAGGAAGATGCTTATTGTAACACTCAAGTCCCGGTGGGCACCTATGATGTGAATATTCTCTACATGCTGTACTATGTTTTTCATACACATACCTTCCTATGGTGAATTTTCACCTGCTCACTTAGAGAAAGCAGTTTTTGGCTTCTCCGTGGCATATCCAAATTGCTAGCATCAATACACTTTGTTTCAGGGCCAAACCAGTATTAAGCAAGAGAAGAGCACTTGGACATACCATAATACCACTGCAGTCTACAGCCCATCTGAGGACTGCAATGGACATGAAGTGACTGAGACTGGGCCCTGGTCCTTTGTTCTCCAGCCCACCGGCTGCCATCTTTGCATGAAGCTTCAAATCCCTGCAGTATTCCCAGGATGTTTGCCACCATTTAATCACAATGATAATTTCTCATCCATACAATGTTTTCAACTCAGCAGGGTGAACTTGGCATGTGGTATCTATTTGACAGGCTCAGAACTGTTTGCCAAAATACTTTCTATCATAACAGAGAAGTTCACTTCTGGTTTTTGTTTTTGTTGTTCACTGCCATGGTTACCACACATAGATGCTGAATCTTCCCCGTACCTATCAAAATGAGGTTTTCCTCTTTAGTTCTCTTTAAAGCAGTATCTTACATTGTGTGTGTTTTTTTAAATGCCAAGCCACTCTTGTATTACTGAGAGTCAATCTTTTGTAATAGGATATTCTTTTATGTTGCTAGGCGTGTTTGCTGATGTTTGGCTTTGAATTCTTTATATCTATGTTTGTGAATGAAAGTGGCCCTTGATGTGTCCGTCTTTGCAGTGACCTCTGTAGCTCTCTGTCTCTGTCTCTGTCTAAAGAGTTTATACAACCTTGGCATCTTTTCCTCCTTCAGTGTTTGGCAAAATTCACTGCTGAAGCTATCTGGGCCTGGAGCTTCCTTAATGGGGAAAATTTTAATTATAATTTCAATATTTTAATAGTTATAGGACTACTTGGGTTTTCTCTTTTAAAATTTTTCCATTTCAAATGTATTAACACAGTTGTTCATAAAAATCTTTTCACCTTTGTAAGATCTGGAATAATGAGCCATTTCATTCCATGTATTACTAACCTGTTACATAGAATATTTCATCAAGCTTGGCAAGGGATTTACCAATTTTGTTAGCTTTCAAAGAACTAATTTTTTTACTTTATTGATCTATTATGGCATTTATTTTCTATTTTGCTAGCATATGTTCTTGTATTAATTTTTTCTTCTACTTCATTTAATCTCTTTTTAACATCTTGAAATGAATAATTAGATGGTGAAATTTTAGCCATATTTTTCCAATAGATGTAATTAAGACAACAAATTCCTTCCTTATCCCCTAAAGACTGTTGAAGCCACATAACTATTGCTATATTCCACAACTTTCAATACATTTTATTTTCATTATTATTCATTTTAGAATGTGTTGTAATTTCTATTGTGATTATTTCAGTGTACTATGAGTTATTTATCAGGATGCTGATACAAAAGTACAGGGATTTTCTAGATATACTTTAGTATTAGTTTCTAACTTAATTTCACTAGACTGAGAAAATATAGTTACTTTTTTGAAATTTGTTAACACTTGTTATAGCCCTACATATAGAAATGTTTGATTTTACTCACTCATTTACTGGCGTACACTGAAGATTGAACCCAGGGCCCTGGCTGACACTAGGAAAGAGCTCTACCACTGAGCTGTATCCTTTGAACTTACAATTTTATTTTATTCATTCTTCTTTTTATTTATTTATTTTACTTTATCCATGTGCAAGCTGTTTTGTGTCATGAGAACTGTATCTTCATTTAATTGTTTTAAAAGGTATGTCTTGAAGTTATTGAGTGTCAATTAGATCAAGTTGATTATCCTTATCGTTCAAACCTTCCACATCTTCCTGTATCTTTCTATCTTTGGCATGTCTCTTCTAAGCCAAATACCATTCCCTAACCCATCAAATCATTTCTGTCCTTTAATTGGAATCCTCATAAGCTCATCTCATAGTGCCCTTCTGTATGTCCCACCCATTCTATTGTCTTTATCTCCCACCCGTCATACCTTTTTTTAGATTATTTTAAAATTATTTCATTTCTCCTTATCTTACATTTAAGTACGTCTCAGCTTTAGTTTAGTGAATTATTCTAAAATCTATACCACAATTCTTGACACAAAACAGTCAAGCGGTACCCTCCTGTAATCCCAGTACACTGTAGGCTGAGGCAGGAGGCGGCAAGGTTGAGCTCAGCTAAACACAATGACGTAGTCAGACCCTGTCTCAAAATGAAAAGGGAAGAAGGGATGGGAATATAGTTCAGTGAGAAGGCCTGGGTTCAGTCCCTAGTAGCACAAAACAAAACCACTACATAAATTAGTACTTTCATATCTTTGCAGACCATGAACCTCAGTCTCTGTTTTTAGCATAGTAAATGTAATTATTACAAAATTTGGGCTTAACAGCTCAATTATCTGGGTCCTCTAAGATTCCATTTCATCTGTTTCTCCTGACATTTTAGAACTATACTCTTTTCTTCTCCAATGCCTGGCTGTGCACACAGGCACGCAGATGACACTTGCTGTGGTGGTGACGTGAGGCCCAGCGGGGACCCTGAGCTTTGAGGGGATCCATGCTGGTGTCTGCAGGCAGCCATCCTTGGTCACCGCTTGAGGCTGAGCTTCAGTCCCTGAAGGAAATCACTGATCTCCATGAGTCACTATCCTCCTCAGCACAAGGTCCCCAGTTGGAGGGGCCCCATCCTGCTGCTGGTCCTGTCGGCCCTGGGGTTGGACATTTTTAGTATCTTGCCTAGCGTCCTCAGCATGACAGTTGGCCTGATTTCTCAAGTCTGTCATTACTGGAGCAGAGCTGAAATCCCAACCATTTCTCCTGCCTTTTAGGTTGCATCAGGGGAACATGCGTCTCAGGGTACAGGATCCGCTCACAATGGCTAAAGTCACAAGTTTACAAAACTAAAAAGCAGCAGCCCATGTGAGAAAGTTGCAAATATATTTTGCTCAGAAACTTTACCTTGACAATGGACCAGATGGGGGAGTCATTCCATAGTCTTCATATCTCTGGAATAAATTAAAAAACAGATGCAGATTAATATTCAATACTTATTCTAAGGTGACAAAAGCAAATGTATAAACTTTCAGGTTTGTAGGATCAACTTTCAGGAGAATTATTTTCTCATTAAAATCTAGCATGTTACCAGGGCATTCTGCCATCAAATAATGTCTGAGTTTCAGTTTGGAGAATTGGGTTACCAAGCTTTAGAAAACATAAAACCAAAGTCAGATGTGACGGCATCTGTAGTGCCAGCACTCTGGAGGCTGAGGCAGAAGGATCTCTTGAATCCATGCATTTCAGACAACCTGGGGTAATACAGCAACACCACAGCTCAATCCTCAGCACCACAAAAGCAAAACAAAAAATCTATACAATTGTTTTATAGCTCTTTCCTTCTTTTGCACAACATAACTAAAAATGTTAATAATAAGATGGGCTCTCTACCTGTTCAGCCTTCTAGGCTCCACTGCTACAAACCACAGTTTCCACTGAGATGGGCTGCATGTGACCACATGAAGCACAAGCAACTCTCCCACTAGGGTTACCAGATCTAGGGGTGTCCAGCAACAACTCAAACAGCACTGGAAACTAAACCATCAAAAGCTGTATCACAGCCAGGTGTGGTGGTGATGTCTAATGCCAGCACTCTGGAGGTTGAGGCAGAAATATCTCAAGTTCGGGCCTACATAGCAAGACCCTCTCACAAAAAAATAAAGAAAAGTGGTACCATGTTGTAGAATGCTGTTAAAAAACAGAAAAGATACAAAGAAACCAGAAACTAGACCCCAAAAGATGAAGGGGTCCCGTCAGTTTCCGACTATCTTCTGGTTCCAAGGAGTCCAGCTCTATTTCCTGCCCATCAGTTTAGAAGGTGGCCCCTGTTTTCTCCTGCAGCTTCTTTTACTTGAGTTAATCTCAACTAACTAACTGTTTTGCACTAAAACACTGCTCCCTTGAAAAAAGATATACAGTGAAAACATTGGCTGGGCTCCTTATGAATTCACACATTGGCCCTAATGTACACAGGAACATCATCTCAACATCCGTGTGGCTGTGAATCACATCTCAGAGCCAGATACCCAGCAGGACAGTGACAAGGATCTGTCCAGCTGAGGCTCACACCAACTGCTCACTCATTGTCAGGCAGAGATGAAAACCCCACAGAGCTCCCAGCAGAGGGAGATTATACAGTGAGATGCCCAGAGGAGGAGAAACAGCTTCACTTCCTTCCCCAAGACTACAGAGAAACTGGAACTGGATACGGATTTTTCACCACGGTACGTGCATTTTTGGAATTTTAAAACATATTCTTAGGCAATTTTTTTAAAAACTCAAGGCTCACCACTTTTTTATCAGAATGTGTGATGGTCTAAGTGATAAACTTATGGAAAAGAATGGAAAACAGCTGTCCACTCTAGTAAAGTACGATGAGACATTTCAACTGTCAGAAAAACAATGTCTTGCCGCAAAAGATGGCTTGTTTTGTTTTGTAATCACTGGCAGAATTTCTATGACCCAGTTGCAGGCATTTTACTTCATTAGAGCACACCTATATAAATGCTTGGGGGACAAAACTGAATTTTAAAATTTCAATCAACTATGTAAAAACACAAAACGCGTTTAATGTATCCCTTCCTTTTTATGTCATAGACAGCACAGGCCAGGAGAATGTAAAAGGGGAATCACCCAGTTGTGGGGTCTTGGATGGGCCTGAAATACACCAAGACAGGAAGGTCTGTTTATAAAAACTCTTAGCTCAGGTGTTTACATGACAGGACATTACACTTTCCGAGCAAACTCAACATCAGCAGTCTGGCAGCCTGCATAATCAACTCCTCCGCGCTAGCAAACGGGCCCAGATGTCACAAGCTGGGATAGAAAGGCCCCTGTGGTAACAGAAGGCACCTTGAAATCCACATTCCTGTGGTTTTTGTCTGCAATGGGAAGAAGCAGGTAAAGGATGATCTAGTTCGTCCCAGCAACAAATGGTAACTTTAGCCCCAGTCTAGCACAGGAACAGACATTAGACACCTACAGAGGCAGCCGATGGGTCTGGGTTAACTGTTACCATTCTCACTGAACTATATCAGGGTGACATCACAAGTTCCCAGCAAAGAAACCACAGAAGGACGACATTTACCACAAAATCTTACTATGAGTTTGAATTCATGGTGAACATGCAGGGTCCAGGCATGACCAATGGACTTTGCTCAATACTCAGGAATGAAGAAAAAAGAATGGAAATAGGGGCCCAAACCTGTCAGCAATTACTGCTAAAAAGTCATCAGCAGACGCCAAACAAGCAAGGGAGCAGACTTGCTTGTTTGTTAGGAACAGAGAAAAGGGGGGGCCAAGGGAAAATGGCTCCTGCTGTCTCCTTCAGAGAGAAGCAAGCTTCCCCGTCAGCCGCCCTGAGCTCCAGCCCTGACCTATGTGCCAGCCCAGACTCCCAGAGTCCCTTAGGAAGCTACTGCAAAGCTCCTGGGGACTGTGGCACCTTGGAGAGGATGCGCTCACTGCAGCAGCACATCAAAGCGACCTCAGCTGTCTCCCCTCCCTGGTCAGTGTGGCCTGTAGTCCTGTGGCCACATCTCTCATCTGCACATCTCCAGCCCCTCCTGGGCCAACCCGTGGCCCTCTTCTCACTGTCTGCACTGGGATGTCTGGGTGCTGGACAACAAAATTAGAGAATTTTAACTTCTGCCACTTGTAATTTCATGATGGTCAATTCAACAGGCCCTCCGTCCTAAGAAAATATTCTTGTGTCCCTGACCTGGGAAGACAGAAGCCAGGAGCTGGCCGTTTCTTCTGCCTCCTCACAACATGATTTCAGCTCTACCCAAACCTTCCTTCCTTCCTCCGTTGGGCTGGAAGAAATGTATCCCTCATGTCCAAAGAGAATTCCTCTCCTGGCACTGTGGGTCATGGCACCCTTTCACGTGTCATCTGTCCTCCTCCATACTGGCTCAGTACCACCAATGATGCCACAGGAGAAACTGCGTCAACTTGCTCTCAAGTCCACCCACAGTGTCACACTGGTTGGGCCACCAACTCTCACCTACAGCACCACATCAGCTTCCTGTGCTCCTGCCTCTGGTCTTGGTACTCTGCAACCATCCTCTGTCTAAAATGCAACTAATCTCTCACCAAGGTCCCACAGTGTCCAGGGGTCGCTACGGTGATAAGAGATAGGCTGTAGGGCTTCCTGCCTGTCCTGTCCTGTCACCATGCCTCACCACATTCACTAGTTCCTCTGCACTGGTCACCAGCAACTGATTCCACAGCACAGAAGTTGGGGTTAATGTCATATATCCACTTGACCAGGCCACAGGATGCCCAGATAGCTGGCTGCACGATGCATCTGTGCATGCCTGGGAGGTGTTTCCAGAAGAGAGCAGAGTTTGGATTGGCCCTCCCAGCATGGCAGGTATCACCCAACCCGTCAAGTACCCAGATGGAACCAAAAGCCAAGGAAGTTAGATTCACGCTCCATCTGACCTGAGAAGGGACATGGAACTTCTGCCCTCAGAGATCCCAATCCTCAGAATTTCAGATTAAGGCTCGAATCTGACTCTCAGGCTTTGTGACAGCATCACCAGCCTTCCTGGCTCCCCAGTTTGCAGACTGCAGATCACAGGCTTCTCAGCCTCCACCATCATGCATGCCAGTTCCACATAGTCAGTCTCTCTAGCTTACATGTTCTCTCTTCCCCTTTCTCTTCTCTGGAGAAGCCTGGACAATATGCATACACTGCACATTTCTGGGAGGAAGTTTTTACAGCTTTATTGAGTTACGACTGACATACAATAAACTGCCTGTATTTAAAGAATACAAGCTCATCGGTTCCGACAGTCTACACCAGTGGTGAACCTGCAGCACACGTGCCACAGCAGGATGTTTGTTATCACTGAAAGCTCTAGAAGGTTCACCTCATCATCACCGGTGTACACACACAAACTATCGCTGCAATTAAGATAATGAACACATCCACCACCCCTGGAGCTTTCAGGTTCTTCTTCATAATCCTTCCATGTCATGCCTGTGCTCAGCCCTGCTCCATCCCTGGACAACCAATGGTCTGCTGTCTATCACTGTAGATTTTTTACTTTCTAGAATGTGTGTAAATGCAAAATATAGTATGCACACTACTCCTTTGGTTTAGCGTATTCCACTCAGCCTAACTATTGTGAGATCCAATCATGTTTTGTGTATGTCAGTAATTCATTCATTTTTATTACTAATATTCTGTTATATGGATACAGCACGTGTGGATCCATGTACCTACAGATGAGAATTTTGGTTATGTCACTTAAGGTCTATTACAAAGATGTACAAGTATGAAAAATGTTTCCTTTCTCCAGGGTATATACTTGGGAACGGCAAGCAAGCTGTACTTTTGGTGTATGTTTAACTTTTTAAGAGACTGCCAAACTGGTTTTCAAAGAGGCTTTCCTAGTTTACATTCCCACCAGCAGTTCATGAGCATTTGAGTTCTTCAGATTGTCATCAACATTTGGCATGGTAGGTCTTTTGCATTTTAAACTTTCCAACAAGTGCAATTCACTTCACCCTAACTACTGACACTGGGCATCTCTTCATTTGCTTATTTCCTACAGTCATCTGTTTATTATCTATGTATATCTTCTTTGGTAAAGTTTTTATTGGGTTGTCTGTATAATTCAAGTCTTCCATAATTTACTAAGATTAGCTTTACAGCCCAGAATATGATTTGTTTTAGTACAAGCTCTGTGTACTTTTGAAAGACTGCACATTCTGCCTTTGTTTTGTGGCATGTTCTCTATAAAGAAATTATTTCAAGTCGGTAGTGTGTTTAAGTCTTTGTTATCCCACAGATTTTTCCAGTCACTTGTTCCACTGGCTATCAAAAGGCGAACTGAAACTTCCAACTACAATGATGGATTTCTTTCTATATGCAGTTCTACTGGGTTTTGCTTCGTGTATTATGAGGCACATAAATATTTCAGATATTGTGTTTTCATGAACT